GCGGCCCGCGGCGACGCGCGGCTGCGACCCGGCGACGACGAGAGCTCTGCGGCCGTGACCCTGCGCCGCGAGCTGCCCTTCTACGGCCGCGCCGCCCGCCAGCTCTACGTGAGTGCCCCCTCCTCCATCCCGCGGCCTCCCACCTCTCTGTCCCCTGCTCTGCCCCTCCGCCTCCCCTTCTGGCCATCCCTCCATCTATCCCACTCTTTTCATCCCATCCCTCCTTCCTTCCTTCTCTCTATCACTCTGTCTCTCTGTCCTTCCTTCTGCTCACTCCTTTCCCCCACAGCAGCTCCTCATCCTCCTCCCCATCCCTGCCCCTCCTCATCTACCCTGTCTGCCTCCTGCGCCCCGTCCCTGCACCCCCACGGGGGTCTCTCCTCCACCCACGGCTGCATCTCCGCACGTTCCTGTTCTGCATCCATCCCTTCCTCTCCGCACGCTCCTTCGCTCCCTCCAGCCCCTTCCTCTTTGCCCCTCCACGTGCCTGTTCTCCGTCCATCCCTGCAGGCCTCTGCTGTCCCTCCCCCCTCTCCGTGTGTCCTGCCTCCGGCTTTCCCTGGCTCCAGAGGAACAAGGGGGCCTTTTCCTTTGCAGCTGTTCCTCCGCGGAGCGGCTGCAGCTGGGACAGCCCGGGAGCTGTGGCTCTCTGGGGGACGGAGAAGCCCAAGGTCTTTGTTTCCTCCTTGGAAGAGGCCGCATGTTCTCCCTCCCCCAGGCTTGGCTCCCAGCCCTCAGCACCGCTCCGGGGACACTAGGGCACGAGGACAGAGGTGCCCTGGCCATGGGGACAGCAGGGCAGCGCGGGCTGCTCTCTGACCACCCTGCACCGCTCTCCCTGCAGGTGGGCACCAACGGAGTCATCTCCACGCAAGATTTCCCCAGAGAGACCCAGTATGTGGACGACGATTTCCCCACGGACTTCCCGGCCATCGCTCCCTTCCTGGCCGACCTCGACACCACGGGCAGCAGAGGGAACATCTACTACCGGCAGGACGACTCTTCGGACGTGCTGGACCGGGCAGCCGGCTACATCCGCGCCGGCTTCCCCGAGGCCGCCGCGTCCTTCGCGCCCACCAACGCGTTCCTCGCCACCTGGGAGGACGTGGGTGCCTACGAGGAGCTCTCGCCGGGCATGGAGCCCTCCAAGAAGGTGAGGGCCATGGGCTGATGTTGGCTTCCCGATGAACGAGTCTTCCTTAGGCAGCACCCAACGCTCTGAGATTTTTCCTTCTGGGCAGCTGGATGGTTGCTCCATGCTTGGAGAAGGGCCAGAGGGGTGAGGATGCTCCGGAGCTCCCACAGCATCCAGACAACCCCCTGAACTGCCAGGATTGGCAATGCTGATGGCTTGGGATGTGCAGAGGAGTTGGAAATTGGGCCTGGAGGAGATGGGCAAAGATGTGGCTTTGGGATGGCCCTCTGCGGGTCATACATGTTTATATGGAGCCTCCTTTACATTGAACTGGGGGTGGAAAAGAGGTGTAAAAAAATAACTGCAGAGCAAAAATACTTGTGGATGCCTAAGCCAAGGCCATGGCACATGGTGCTGGTGTGCGGCCGGCAAGGCATTTGGAAGGAGGCAGGAGGCATTTGTTTCCTCTTCTCTGGTAAGTGGGAAAAGCAACTGGAGAAATGGCACCGGGGGCCTCCCAGTGACCTTGCAGACATCAAAAACGCAGCCTCGGGTTCTCCACGAAATTGTTTTTCCTCTTGAAAAGAGCTGGATCATGTTTTAAAGCCAAAATGAAGGGGGAAAAAATGTTTTGCTTTGAAATGAGACACTTAATGGAAAATTTCATTCAAGGAGGGTGGAAAGTCAGTCCGTGTGTTGTCCGCAAAATTCCTTTTTTTTTTTTTTTTTTTTTTTTTACCTATCATCTTTGTGAAAACTGCAGGAAAAAAATCCCCAAGCGCCACTTTTCTTTTTACTTTTTGGCTGAATTTGCCATTCCTTGGAGCTCAGAAGTTGAAACTCAGAGTTTATTTATTATGAAAGGCCTTCTGCTTCAAAATCTGCCCTGTTTGGGGCAGAATTTGCCCTTTTTGGCTCTCAAAGGCAGCGCTGCAGCTCAGGGGACGGTCCCCAGAAAGGGGACACTCCGCCTGTGCTCCCACCAAGCACTATTTTATTTTATTGTATTGTATTTTATTTTATTTTATTTTATTTTATTTTATTTTATTTTATTTTATTTTATTTTATTTTATTTTATTTTATTTTCTCTTGAGCATCCCAGCTCCAGCTCACTCCGGGTCCGACGCTGCTTTCCTGTGGCGAGGCACCGGTGCGGCAGGAAGTGCCGTTATCTCTGCCAGGCGGATGCGGAATTTCAGCATGGAAAAACAGCTGTGGCCCCTGTGCAATGTTTTCCCGGCGCCTGGGGCCACTTGCTTTGTGGGGATGCTCCGGTGGCTCGTTAGGGTTGTGCTCGTGGGGCTGGCGCCTATAGCGGGATGTATGAGTGTGGGCAAGGCGCCCGCCTGTTTTTTCCTGAGGAAATGGAGCTTCAATTGCCCTCCTGGGGAAACATGGCCCGTGCTGCTCTCCGGTGCCAGCGGGACCAGGGGGAAGCGCTGCCAGTGGTGGGGACAGAGCGGGACCATCGGATGGGTCCAAAAGGAGATGGTTGCAGGAGATGTGTGGAGAGCACCAAGGCCGGGCACATCCAAGGTCCCTGGATCCTGGACATCCCGCCAGGCTGAGGTCCAGGGTCACCCCATCTGTGTCGCTGCGGATACTTCGCAGCAGGGTGTGAGGATCATGTCCCCAGTGCTGTGTTTGCGTCCGCTCTTCTGTGGTGGCTTCCACGGGGACGTCAGCTGGTGCCTCTGCGCTGTCACACACTGCGTGTCCTGCTCTCCCTGTCCTGCAGCTCAACACGTTCCAGGCTGTGGTGGCCTACGACGCAGTGGACGCCTACGCCATCTTCCTCTACCCCGACGACGGCCTCCAGTTCTTTGGGACCCGGCCCAAAGAGTCCTACAACGTCCACCTGGAGCTGCCGGCCAGGGTGGGCTTCAGCCGCGGCGACGGTGATGACCCCAAGAGGGATGGACTCTTCTACAGCGTGGCCAGCAGTGAGCGGGCCTTGAAGCACCTCTACCAGTACGTAGCACTTTCAGGGCGCTGGGTGAGGAAAGGGACTTGGGTGGCTCAGGGTGAGCCAGATGGGCAACGGTGTCCACCTACATGCGTGAGGGCAGCTGCTGAGATGGGTGGTGGCATCTCACCAGCATCAGGTACCAGCCATGGGCCCGTGTGGCCAGCCAAAGTCCTAGCAGACAGGCCAGGAGAAGGTACAGGAGCCAGAAAACGTGTCCCTAAAGGGTTGTGTGTAGGTGCCACTGTGCTGTCCCAAACCACAACAGTGGGGCCCAGCTTGGAGGCCCTGGTTGGAGTGTGGTGCCATGTGTGGCCTGGCTTCTCCCATCCTTCCGTGTCCCCAGGCAGATGCTTTTGGCCACTGTCCCCTAGGGCGAGCAACGTGATGGTGCCCGGCGTGTGGGTCTTCCACATCGGCAGCGCGTCCCCGCTGGCCAACGTGGTGCCAGCGGGC